CATTAATATTTAACGAGTTATGGACGAAAAACGAAAAAATTGTTTTTTGCAAATTACTCGTTAACTATTAACGCTAGCGAAAATTTTTTACATGGAAATTGTAGATCTCATCGTCCTCTACAAGAAAGATCTTATGCATTTTTTCCGTATGTCCAACGGTTTGGGAGTTATTGGCAAAAAACAAAAATGTGGAAGAAATTAAAGGGGAAAAATCTCGGAAAAATAGAAAATTTTTTTTTGTTGTTTATTATTAGCAATGTTCTTCCGACGTCTGATTTCTTTTTAAAAAATGCGTTCCTAAAGTGCATAAACTTTTGGGATTCACTGTATAGCCAATACATCCTTAATAGTATCGATGATAGGTATAGACATAAAAAAATAGATCGAGCGACCAATGTTATTTAGTTGACGCTACATGAGAAAGAGATAACATGCTTTGGCAGAAGTTCTGTCTTTTTCGCACATACCATGCGGCCACGTTTACTATTATGTTATACCAGAAGAGGAGAAGTTAAATGACTATCACGTTTCCCCTACTTCACCACTCTTCACTGATAGAGAAAGTAACACTTCTCTCTCTTTCTCGTACATTGCGTCAAGTGACCATTTACGCGTTCGGTCTATTCTTCTATGTCTATGATGTACCCTAAACCGTCGAAAGTCTGAATCAGTCTGTAGAACATTTGTCTTGAGAACTACGATTCAGATGGTTCTGTAACAGTAGCTGTTCTTTTACGATAATGGTATCTCACTTGGTCGATCGCACTGTTATCTCGGTATTATCAGAAGCTTCGTCCACAACGTGGCGATAATTAATCACACCGTCTCGATCCGTTTCGATGTTCCCAGTGAGCGGCCGAACGCAATGCTCGATGTACTTGCATCGTGCCAAATTCTATCAGTATTCATCAGAATGTTTCCTATTAAATGTTCTAAGATTCTTAACTCGGCATCGAAGATCTCTTGACGGTGTATCACTCGTAGTCTGCACGTAGTATAACAATCTTTTAGAATGGCAAGTGTAGACGTTTGATAAATAATATTGCTTAGAAATAAATATTACAACTTCGCAAAACGAAGCACCTTGGATTACACAACACTTTATCAATTAGATAAAAACGACTACTTTTTTGCTAGAGCTCGTAGGAATAGTGATAAAGATTAGCCGCGGTTGACGAGCATAAATTACTTGTAATAATGACATGGTAAATAATCGATACGATCGGTAATAAATCCAGTGAACTTATAGCTCGTGTGCAAGCGGTATGAAACAGTGGTAAGAACAGCAGGCCGATGGTGTAAACCAGTGGATCGAGGAGTTGGACGTCGAGGGGTCGAGCTGCGCGTGTTAATTTCGATTCTCCATTAAGAAACATCGGTAACCGTTTAAGTTTGTGTAAATGGGAAAACAGGCAATGATCCAACGGCTCGTGCAGAGTAATTAATCAGATTCTGAAAGTTGATCGTGACATGGGTAAATGAGAAAAACTTTAAATCAATCAATGTATTTAAATTATAAATAAATTACTAGAGTCATTGTCGAAGTAATCGTTTAAAAGTCATATGTACATTAATGTGATTTACGTATAGACTGTAATATCTAGTATGATTCTCACATGGTGAAAACGCAATTTGAAACACAGAATTTTCATGAAACTGCGCGGGATAGATTTAACGCACGGAATTAATAACACGCTTCAAAGATTAATGCGCACTCACTATAAATAAACCGTGGTGTACTGGCCGACGATTCGATACGTTCTGTACCATAGTTGTTTGTTCTATTTTCTCTCCGGACTCTTTCCATAGATACGGCGAGCGAGATGAACGGTGCGGGAGAATGAAACGGAGTTCCATCGCGTCTTCCTTGTACGTATGCACGTCAGTCTCTCTTGGGAAAATTAAAATTAGTGGCTGTTCAGATAAAAGCCGGGCGAGTAAAGTGGAAGTTATCGCGGGAAATAACTTTCGGGTCTTGACGCAGCAGATACTTCGAAATCGTGGCTGATAGAGACTGTTTCGTGCACGAGTTTGGCCTGTATTAAAGATGCCTGTGTCGCACGAGAGACTCGTTTGATTTATTGCGGTGGTTCAGGACCGAGTGAAATCGTGCGAAGGTGTAAAAATATTTCTAGTTGACACAAGTGTGGAAACGTACCGGTGTTCGTTACCTCGTATAACGTAACGATTACGCGCGTACCGATGACGGAACTGTTGTTTCGTTGAAATGCGTGATGAACTGTAACGCAAC